TCACCAAACTGAAAATTAACCTAATGCTAACATATCTCAGCATGCCTCAGATAGTTGATTCTGTCCATCTCACAATGAACAGAATTGAGGAAGTTCAAGGAAATGGAAGAAAAGAACACTACATGTCTTTAAGAAACAGGTAAAAATACAACAGAGCTAACACCGAACCTGAGAGATTCATCTGGCCCTTCAGCTGATCTGTTCACTGATGCCTCATCAGAATTGGCCTAAATGGAAGGGTGGCTGTGAAGACCGGAGATGGAAAAAGGTTCAAGTATGCCAAATTACACAAGGATGGCAACAGGTCTCATCTTTAGATCTAGTGTGCTCAGTGTAATTTTTTTTTAAAGTGTTACTTTTGTCATTTAAACAAGTGGACGGCCTGGTGCATCTGGGTTTTGTTTTTGTTTATGTTTTTGAGAGGACGAAGAGAATCAAACTTTTCTACAGTGTGTTGGTGGCTCCTTATATTTTGTGGTCTGTGATGTAATTGTACTTTTTGTTGATTTACATGTTTAATGACCTCCATTAGGTTTGAGCCCGTCTCAGATCCAAAAGTATGTTTGCATTCTTACTCGCATTGTGCTACAAATTGATGAATGGAATTTTTTCTGTAGTTTTCACTGATAAATATAAGAGCAAATTAAAATTTGGTGATATTTTTGTGACACTTTGTGGAAGCATAAGAAACTTCTTAAGATATTTTTGTTATTTATACTGATGCCTATTGGCTGAGTGCACAAAATTAATAGATGGAATCAATATTAAAAATAAATAAATGAATACAAAGATCAAAGGTAAGGTTTAACTTGACTTAAAAAGAATATATTTTAAAATGTTTAATTGTATTTGTATAAATAAATAAAAATGAATCACTGTAATAACAACAACAATTAACTTTACTGAATAAATACTAAATTACTATCAATAAATATGGAATAGATTATTTATTACAAACACAAATGCAGATTCATAACTGATCAAACAACCAGATAATCCCCTGTGAGCAAGTGACTGGCAACAACGGATAGAAAGAACTCCTTTTTAACAGGAAGAAATCTCTGACAGAACCAGGATATGGGCAGGGGAGGTATCTGCTTGTAACTGGTTGAGGAGATGACAGCACTGAGAGTTACATAGTGGAGGAGAACCTCTGTGCATCCTGCACTCTGAGCCTGCAAAGCTTAAGGGATGGTTCAGAGTCACCTGAGGTTTAATCAAAAAGGAAAGTTTTGTTTGATCTTAAAAGTAGAGACAGCATGTGTCTCCAAATCTAAACTGGGAGCTAGTTCCACAGGAGCAGAACCTCACAATTATACTATACTTTTTACTGATGACTCAGGCTTCATGCTTCCTTGAGTAAGACTGAGTCAGAAAGTAAAATGTCCAGTTACGCCACCGGCTTTGAAAAAACAAAAATAATCACAAAGCTAAATCCTTCAAGTTTTTTAAAGCTGTATTATATACAACACCAATCGTTTATGATTAGACAATATTAGTTTAAGCTATTTATACAAATTCATAGCAACTGATAACACTTAGCAAACTTTAACCACAAAACGTATTTAATTTCCAGAACTTAAAAGGAATAATACAACCCTTATTAATCAAATGCATTTGAATAATTTACATATTGGTTGCTGTTATCTGTAGTTATAGGGGGTTTTATCCCCTAAAATAAGAAAAAGCGTAATGACAGCCATTATGCTCCTGGTGTCAGCGTAATGACTGAACATGTATAATCTTATCTCTGAGTGAGCAGCGCATCAAACTGCAGTGGATCTGTATACAAGGATAACAGAAAAACCCTGACCCTGCTATTCACTTATATTAGAGATTCACACAACGAATGAATGAATGGATGAAGTATTAGGTCAAAGTCAAAACACAAATAAAACAGCTGGAATCCACAGCTGTGCGTGTTCATGGAGCTTGCATTTTCACCTGCTGGACATCACTACCTGACAAGTTTAACTGTCTTCAGAACATTGCAGAGGCCTTATTGACAGTATTTGGCTCTACATATCTGCGTGAGCAGATTTTCTCTCACACGAAGAGTGTCCTCAGGTAGCCGTCTGCATGCTGGACACTCGTAGACCTGTGTCTCTGAGTGGGAGACCAAAGGTCACATTAACATGTCCATCTAGGGCTGGGCGATATGACCCAAAATTCATATCTCGATATTTTTTAGCTGGATGGCGATATAAGATCTATATCTCGATATTTTTTTAAAGCCATAAAGTAAGAACAAAAAGAGAGTTCTTAGTCAAAGCTGTGTCTCAGATGTCACACAGGCACTTTTATTAACATAAAGCACAGATGTACATGAAAAAAACTACTCAAAAATAAATTATGAGCATTTATTAAAAATAATGCTCCATAAATAAAAGAAAAGTATGTTGTTTTTGTCCATAACAAAAAGCTCACAATTGTGCAGTCAAAATGTAAACTAAAAGACGCTGAGCATAATAACAAGGGCAGATTTCACAGCTGCTCTGTTCCCAACTTCTACTGCGTGACTGACAGCCTGGAGTTTGAAATCCGCTTCAGGTGCCATTTATGGTCCTTATACACACACAATACGGTAATATTACGTTGAAGCACAGTGCATATTACTACGCGAGGCTCCTCGGTAGCCGTAATGCTCCGACAATCCATCAAGCGGTGCAGCTCCGTAGCTTACCAAAGTCGTACTAAAACATTTTTTGACAGATTGCTGAGCGCCGTGTTCCACATAAAATCGGTTCGCGGTCATCAAGCACAACCAGAATTCATACATAAGGCGCGCTGTCAACTTTTGAGAAAATGAACGGATTTTAGGCTGTGCAGCCCCTGTGGGCTGCATGGCGTTAGCGTGGTTAGCTCGTTAGCACGTTGACACCGTCCAGCCCCACGCACGGAGCGATGCGCAGTAACTCGTTAACGGAGATTTGCCGTGTTCATCTTGTCGCTGCCTGCAGGTGAAGCTATGGGGGAGGAGGGGGAGTTGTGTTCAGTGAAGGAGAGGCGAGGCCGAGTAACGTTGCGTAGAGACAAAAGTGGACGAAAGAGAGGCAAACTTCTGGCTCCACAACTATAATTATAACGTATATATCGATATAAAGGATATGGTCACATCTTATATCTAATATAAAAATATATCGATATTTTTTAAAAAACTCGATATATCGCCCAGCTCTATGTCCATCCCTGTATTAACAAACATGCCATATTGGCCCAGTTTATTTTTCTTATCATTGTTTTGAGGAGACCAAAAATAGCATTTACATTTTCTGTTGTACAGTTTATTTGCTGTTATGGAGTTCTTGTTACTGATGAAAAAAAAGTGTATTTTTTGTTTCAAAATAGCTGATCTACTCTATGCCAACATCTGCGAACAAATATAATTCTATAAAGTTGGTCTATATAGTGTGTAACTGTTGATATAGAGCGTTATTAAATTTATTGCTAATGCAATCATATGGCACGTTGACTTCTAAGGAAATTTTAGATGGCACTTATCATCAGAAAGGTTGCTGACTCCTGGGTTAGACCTTCATATTAATTTTTTTTAAAAACTTTTTTAAGAACGCATTTTAACATTGGACTCAAAAATAAATAAATCCCCCGCTAACAAAAAAGGCTCTTCAAGTGCCAAATTGCTTTATATTTCTTCACTTAAATATACGGCCGCAAGTAGGGCTGACATGGGCCCCAGGTTTGATGTGTTCTGCCGTAAACTGGACAAACCAACATAAGGATGGAAGCCACTGTGGGACTTTTTCAGTAAGTTGAGCATGTGTTTTATAAGTTAATCAGTAAATTAACACCAATAGCTAGTTAACCCATAGCTATTCACACAACAACGGGGTATTGGGTAACTATGATGTTTTTATTTTAGAAAACAAAGTACACATGAATTAATGTACTTTAATAGAAAATGGAAAGGTGATACAACCTCAAAAACGTGGTTGTCTCTAGATTTAAAAAGAGAAATAAGGTCCAGTAGTTACACTATATAAAAAATAAATGCACAATTTAAAAAAACAAAATTTATAGGTAGGTATATCGACTTCTCATTAAATTATATGAATTATTATGGCTTTGTCTGCCACAGTGTTTTTCTTTAAACTACTTAGGAGCACTTTTACTGGCAGTCGGTGATGTCACTGAAAGGCAAGGTTCTGTTGCCATAGTCTCCTGAGTTTATTTTGAAAGCTAACTTACGGAACTCGCTTAAACAGCTTAGGAAAGACAAGCGCACACATTTGAAGAAGTATTCCCTCATCACGGTGACATTTTCCAGTTTACAAGGTCTCAAAAATTAACATGAAAAAGGAAACGAGAAAAAATACAAATTCAGGAGAAAAGAAAGATCCAGGAGATCAAAGTAAGTAAACAAATACATCAAATCTGGGTAAAATCCCTCAAATAACAGAATCTACTTTTCTAAAAATGTTGACAGTCTGTGTATAAAATGAAACATTTGAATCCTACCCATATGGAAAAGATATATATAAATCTTATAAAGTTTGTATCTGTCTTGTGTGAAACTTGTATGTTTTGGATACTTACTAAAACAATATATGAAAGTAATGAGAAAGTGGCCACTTTCACGAGTAAATCATATAAGCCTGATATGATTCACTGCATGAAGTAGGCCACATCTTACGCAAGTCTTTTATAAATTTGTACTATTTCTTTTCCATATGGGTATGTTTGACTGAAAATAGCATAATTACAACACGTCTAATCAAAGAAAGGTTAATGGGGCACTTTGTCTTTTGGTAAAATAATGTGACAAGTTTATTCTTGGACTCAGCAGTAAAAACAGATCAACAAGTGTCATGAAGATCTAAGTCTTAGTAGACCTAGTATGGACTCGTGTTGCTCTGTTTTTTATCAAAAGGATAAACTTGTTATTATAATTTAACCAATACTTCCTAAAATGGCATCAAAATCCTTCCGGTCCTGATGTCGAGCACTCTTTTTCACTACTGTGTTGTTGTTGTTGTTTATAGACTCTAAGAGCAGGATGGCTAAAAGAAAGGCCAGTCCTGAAAAGAAGACCCCCGTAAAAAGAGGGAGGGTCACTGAGCAGGCTGCTCCTTCCACCAGCTCAGATACACACCAGGTCAAAGCAGTGAAGCGTAAGGCCCAGCAAGATGGAGCGGGCACAACCAGTGCACCGAAGAAGATTAAACTTGCTGAGCCTACGAGTGAAGACAGGGAGCAAGCGTCTTCCTCCGTGGACACTGGTAAAGGTAGGCTAATTAGTTGAGTGAGGGGTAGATTAAGTACACAGCTGGTTGCTCGGTTTAAGATATTAGTGTTTGGGAGATATTTTTCTGTTGTACAGTTCATTTGCTGTTATGGAGTTCTTGTTACTGATGAAAAAAAAGTGTATTTTTTGTTTCAAAATAGCTGATCTGCTCTATGCCAACATCTGCGAACAAATATAATTCTATAAAGTTGGTCTATATAGTGTGTAACTGTTGATATAGAGCGTTATAAAATTTATTGCTAATGCAATCATATGGCACGTTGACTTCTAAGGAAATTTTAGATGGCACTTATCATCAGAAAGGTTGCTGACTCCTGGGTTAGACCTTCATATTAATTTTTTTTAAAATTTTTTAAGAACGCATTTTAACATTGGACTCAAAAATAAATAAATCCCCCGCTAACAAAAAAGGCTCTTCAAGTGCCAAATTGCTTTATATTTCTTCACTTAAATATACGGCCGCAAGTAGGGCTGACATGGGCCCCAGGTTTGATGTGTTCTGCCGTAAACTGGACAAACCAACATAAGGATGGAAGCCACTGTGGGACTTTTTCAGTAAGTTGAGCATGTGTTTTATAAGTTAATCAGTAAATTAACACCAATAGCTAGTTAACCCATAGCTATTCACACAAATGAATAGCTATGGGAAAGGTGATACAACCTCAAAAACGTGGTTGTCTCTAGATTTAAAAAGAGAAATAAGGTCCAGTAGTTACACTATATAAAAAAATAAATGCACAATTTAAAAAACAAAATTTATAGGTAGGTATATCGACTTCTCATTAAATTATATGAATTATTATGGCTTTGTCTGCCATAGTGTTTTTCTTTAAACTACTTAGGAGCACTTTTACTGGCAGTCGGTGATGTCACTGAAAGGCAAGGTTCTGATGCCATAGTCTCCTGAGTAGGGATGGGTACCGGTGTCCGGTGCCATGATGGCACCGGTTCTGACATAAACGGTAGTAACCAGACCGAAAAGCAGCGCACATTTCGGTGCTTTATTTCGGTGCTTTTTTTTCCTGAGCTGTGATAAACTTCTAGCCAATCATTTTACGTTTCCGAGGATAGTAGGCGGGTCCAGGTACGTGCGTTCTTTTAGAGCAGAGCTACAGATTAAAAATGTCCAAGGCGAAGCGGTCAAAAGTCTGGCTGTACTTCACAGCAATATATGCAAACTCAGCAGCCTGCAACAAGTGCTTTAAGCTGATACTGTGATACTGTCAAAGGAGGTAACACCTCGAATCCGACGAAACACCTAGCGACGCATAGCGTTTTTTTTAAAGCCGAGAAATGCGCCGTATTTGATAGCTTGCTGCGAGACCTCACACCGAGCACATCTACTGCGGGTGGGTTGCCTGTTATGCAACATCCCCCAAAAACACGAAGAGGAGAGTCCTGGCCCCTAGCCCTGCCAGTGTAGCAGAAATGATGACGGATGATGATGCAGCAGCAGCCGTTCTTCTCTGCGTGAGTAGCTTAATGTTGTTCGTGTGTAATTTACGTTGAGTAGGCTAACCACGTTATTACATTAATGCAGGTAAGGTGAACTAGCAAACATCATCATAGCTACATGCAGCTGTCCTCTTGTTTGATGGCAGATACTCGCTTCACCCTGGCCAAAAAGGCTAAAAAGACCAAAGAAAAAGTGGAAAACAGTTAAACATGAGAGGTTTAGGACAAAGTTTGTGTTTTTTCCATTGATTAAGCACTGCTTCCAGCCAAGAGTGATGCCATATATGCCCCATAGCTGCAGAAAAGGCTAACATTGTTATCTTTTTACAAAAAACAGCTGAACATGAGAGGTTTTTGGACCAATTTTGTGCTCTCCATTCTTTAAGCACCGGTTTGAGCACCGTTTGAGCACCGGCACCGTTTCAAAAGTACCGGTTTGGCACCGGTATCGGATAAAACCGAAACGATACCCATCCCTACTCCTGAGTTTATTTTGAAAGCTCACTTACGGAACTCGCTTAAACAGCTTAGGAAAGACAAGCGCACACATTTGAAGAAGTATTCCCTCATCACGGTGACATTTTCCAGTTTACAAGGTCTCAAAAATTAACATGAAAAAGGAAACGAGAAAAAATACAAATTCAGGAGAAAAGAAAGATCCAGGAGATCAAAGTAAGTAAACAAATACATCAAATCTGGGTAAAATCCCTCAAATAACAGAATCTACTTTTCTAAAAATGTTGACAGTCTGTGTATAAAATGAAACATTTGAATCCTACCCATATGGAAAAGATATATATAAATCTTATAAAGTTTGTATCTGTCTTGTGTGAAACTTGTATGTTTTGGATACTTACTAAAACAATATATGAAAGTAATGAGAAAGTGGCCACTTTCACGAGTAAATCATATAAGCCTGATATGATTCACTGCATGAAGTAGGCCACATCTTATGCAAGTCTTTTATAAATTTGTACCATTTCTTTTCCATATGGGTATGTTTGACTGAAAACAACATAATTACAACACGTCTAATCAAAGAAAGGTTAATGGGGCACTTTGTCTTTTGGTAAAATAATGTGACAAGTTTATTCTTGGACTCAGCAGTAAAAACAGATCAACAAGTGTCATGAAGATCTAAGTCTTAGTAGACCTAGTATGGACTCGTGTTGCTCTGTTTTTTATCAAAAGGATAAACTTGTTATTATAATTTAACCAATACTTCCTAAAATGGCATCAAAATCCTTCCAGTCCTGATGTCGAGCACTCTTTTTCACTACTGTGTTGTTGTTGTTGTTGTTTATAGACTCTAAGAGCAGGATGGCTAAAAGAAAGGCCAGTCCTGAAAAGAAGACCCCCGTAAAAAGAAGGAGGGTCACTGAGCAGGCTGCTCCTTCCACCAGCTCAGATACACACCAGGTCAAAGCAGTGAAGCGTAAGGCCCAGCAAGATGGAGCGGGCACAACCAGTGCACCGAAGAAGATTAAACTTGCTGAGCCTACGAGTGAAGACAGGGAGCAAGCGTCTTCCTCCGTGGACACTGGTAAAGGTAGGCTAATTAGTTGAGTGAGGGGTAGATTAAGTGCACAGCTGGTTGCTCGGTTTAAGATATTAGTGTTTGGGAGATATTTGTGTGTATGATCTAATACGCTGATGTGCTTTTGGTGTTTTCCACATCTGCAGACTGCAGTCAAAACACAAAGGGGTGCACAAAAAATGGCAGAAACAAGTCTGCGGGAGACAGCAAAGAGTCACCCAAGAAAAAGAAAAAGGACAAAACCAAAAACGTCGTCCAAAATCCAGCAGCCGACCAGCAACGTAAGTAGCAAGCAGCTTGGCTTTTATACTCAGGTGAAGAGCAAAATGAACATTTAGGGTACAGCAGAGAGTAATTTGTGTCACAGCTGTAGTAAAACAACATTTGGGTCTTTTCAGGGGAATACCAAGCCAGATATGTGCAGGAGCACCATCTAGGAAATGGCGGCTGTGGAGCAGTGTTTGCTGGCTACAGGATAACAGATCATTTCCCAGTAAGTGTTCAGATGGTGGGAGTAAGACAGGCAGTAATGCAGATAACGGATAATATCGTCAGCTGAGCATTAAAGGTGCCGTTTTACACCTTTAATGATGTCATACTGAGGAAATGCTCACCAATGCTCTGTGTCTTTTAGGTAGCCATCAAACACGTTCCCAAGAACAGAATCCCCATCAAAGTGACGGTAAGTGTGCAACACTTGAACTGTTTTTACATTCCTGGACTGAGTGCAGCGTTCACCTGTGAAACATCTGTTCCTCATCATCCATTTTGTTGTAATATATCAGGATGAAAACGGGAAGGAAGTCTCAGTGGAAGTGGCCATTTTGCTGAAGCTTGCAGCTGAAGCAGATGGATCAGTGGGAACGTCGGCTCCTGTGTCTCTGTTGGACTGGTTTGACTTTGGCACAGAGCTGATCCTGGTGCAGGAGAGACCTGTCCCCGCGGTGGACCTGTTTGAATACATAAGAGAAAATGGAGGATGTTTACCAGAAGGAAAGGCCAAGGTAAGTTGACTGGAAGAGCCTTAGACTGTACAGCATTCAATCAAAGCATAGAGTATCAGAGAAGCATCAACCTGTTGACTCATTACTGTCTTTTTCATCTTTTCCAGGTCATTCTGAAGCAACTGGTTGATGCAGCAAAGGACCTGGAAGAGAAAGACATCTTTCACCGGGACATCAAGAGTGAGAACATTCTGATTGAGACCGGCTCAGATGTGCCTCGAGTTCGTATCATTGACTTTGGCCTGAGCTGCTTTGCTACGGAGCAATCGCAGTTCTGCTTCTTCTATGGTAACATATTCAGCTCCTGCTCTTCACAGATGTAGCAATTTGTGCCTTTTGTTTTAGAAGAAATTGTAATTGTGTCTGTTTATTAGGTACACCTATCCACAGCCCTCCCGAATGTTACTGGGGCAAAAAATACAGGCCTGGACCCACCACGGTGTGGCAAATGGGAGTGGTGCTGTACGAAGCACTTCATGTGGGGGACTTTAATATCATGACGTTCATTGAAAACGAACTGAAATTCAACGAGCATCTGTCCCCACGTAAGAAAACATCACACTTCAAGATTCACTGATGGCTTGGATCACTGGAACTATCATCTTCATCTTTTCTCTCCTTTCTTTCTTTCCAGACTGCCGGAATTTCCTGGATGCGTGTTTAACCGATGTCCCGGAGAAGCGCCCAACGCTGGGGGACCTCCAGCGTCACCCCTGGCTCAGATAAACCCATCTCTCACACACACACATTTCATATATTATCATATAAGTGTGATACGTGACCTAACTTTCTATTTTTGTCTTTCTTTCATTTTTTTGGTTTTTTTTTAACAGGAAAAGGTTGTTTTTTGGGTTTTTTTGGCCAATTCTAAATTTTGCTATCCTGAAATTCCTGTAACCCCCCCCCAGCCATCCCAGGAAAGGGGATCTCTCTTTGAATTGGCTTTCCCGAGGTTTCTTCCCATCATTCTGGCCCCCCGGGGAGTTTTTCCTCGTCTTCATAGAGAGCTTGGGCTGGGTCAGGAGCTTCATCAAAATTGGCCTTATTTGATTAGGTTAATGTAATAAAATTACGTTGATGTAATCAAAATTAGTAAAAATCAAAAGATTTAACTTAAACTTCCATTAAAACTTGTTTAACTCAACTTTGCTGAGAATACTCTTTCATTACCATGTCAAGGATTGTTTTTTACTCATGATGCATTTTGACAAGTAAGAAAACTGAAAACTCAATCAGGTTAAAGTATGCACAACGAAAGTCACACTGTCACTGCTCTGAAGACTTGCATCTGTTGCCCTAACCTCTAATGCGTCTCAACAGATTTCCTGGTTGCAACAGTTTTTCCTTCCCACTGTTGCTGATTGTTTGCTCATAGTGGGCTCTCTGATTGGTGGGATTCATTTTCTAATAGTATAGGGTCTCTGCCTTCCAATGTAAAGTGCCTCTAGACAACAGATGTGACTTGTTGCTATAGTTAAGGTTGAATTGAATCATTAATGTCCATTCAGTAGTGAAAATTTTATATTTCTTAATAGGGGTGGGTTTTGATGATCGATTTATCGATTAAAATCGATTCTGGCTTGGATAACGTGATATCGATTCATTAAAACCTGAATCGATTTTTAAATAGAAATTTATTTTGCCCGAAACGCCAGAATCTCAGGTTAAACCTCACAAAATTTCTACAACCACCAAACCGCTAAAACAGTAAATGAGAGCAGATACACGGATTCTGCACAAAGACGTAAACACAAAACGCGGACCCGACGGATCAGAATCACTGAGATGTGGCTTTCTCACCCGCCGGCACGTACGCTTAGCTGTGTCTCTAATCAAACCTCTGTAACTTTGCTCTGCTTCACTTCGTTTTTGACTGCACAATATTTTTAATGTCATCTGCTATAAAAACCCAGACCAAGTCTCGCAAGCGTCAGCTTTCTTTTTATAGATATAAAAATATAGATATGTACTGATAAGTGATCAGAATTATAATATTTCTGACTGTCTGAGGCAAAATTTCCCTGATTCAAATCGAATCGAAACAAATCAAATCGTGGATCGAATCGATTCGGGACCTTGTGAATCGGAATCGAATCGATTCTAGAAATCAGTGACGGTACCCAGCCATATTTCTTAATATCCATCTATACTCAATGTGAATTCCATAAATTTAATAGAGCTGTTTGACTGATCACCTAATGTGTGACAAAAGAATCCACTGTGATGCTAATGACCGTCTGCGCTCTCTTACCTGTCTGTAAAAGTTGGCCTTGTCTCTCTCACTCTGCCTTCTCTCACTCGTTTCCCAGTCCAGTCACGCCTCTCTCCTCTGTTGCAGAAGTTCCAGCCCGTGCTCTTCCTGTGTTCCGCATGCCCGACTGTTTCTCTGCCCCCTGGTTTCCCACGTCACCTGTGCAGAGTTTCTGTTAATGACCGTGCTCCTGTTTAAGTTGATTCCTCTCATGAATAAATCTTGTAAATATTTCAAGTGATTGAGTCTGCTCTTAGGTCCAACTGCACTCTCATTTCCAGTTTGTGACATGGGCTTTTCTTTCTTTCCTTTGCATTATTGTCAGGTCTTTACCTTTCAATATAAAGTGCATAGGAGGCAAACGTTGTTGTGATGTTGGCGCTACATTAATAAAAGTGACTTGAAATTGAATAAGTGCAAGAAGACACAGCTGAGCTCAATCTAAATAATAGAGCAATTGAAAATAAAACTAAAGGCAAAGTACAAGAGACAAAAAACTGAAAACAGAAACTGAACTAATTACACACAGAGACAAGAGACTAACACTCAACTAGTCATAGAAACACAGGGGAGGTTACAGCTAATCAAAACACACCGAAATATCAAATTCAAAGAATTCTTCCCCTCAACCACAACCGCTCACAGCAGATGGCTGCCCCTCTCTGAGCAAGACATGTCCGTCAATGCACATATTAAACAAATATGTAGGACTGCTTTCTTCCATTTGGGCAACATCTCTAAAATTAGAAATATCCTATCTCAGATTGACGCTGAACTAGTTCATGCATTTATTACTTCTAGGCTGGACTACTGTAATTCATTACTATCAGGAAGTCCTAGAAACTCCCTGAAAAGCCTTCAGTTATCCAAAATGCTGCAGCAAGAGTCCTGACAGGGACTAGAAAGAGAGAGCAGATTTCTCCTGCATTGGCTCCCTGTTAAATCTAGAATTGAATTCAAAATCCTGCTCCTCACATTCAAGGTCTTAAATAATCAGCCCTTATCTTATCTTAATGACCTTGTAGTGCCATATCACCCTATTAGAGCACTTTGCTCTCGCACTCCAGGCCTACTTGTTGTTCTTAGAGTATTTAAAAGTAGAATGGGAGGCAGAGCCTTCAGTTTTCAGGCCCCTCTTCTGTGGAACCAGCTTCCAGTTTGGATTCGGGAGACAGACACTATCTCTACTTTTAAGATTAGGCTTAAAACTTTCCTTTTTGCTAAAGCATATAGTCAGGGCTGGACCAGGTGACCCTGAATCCTCCCTTGGTTATGCTGCAATAGACATAGGCTGCTGGGGATTCCCATGATGCATTGAGTTTTTCCTTTCTAGTCACCTTTCTCACTCACTATGTGTTAATGTGATATAATTTGAAGCATGCGCGGTAACGATATATATCGTGATATATTCTTTTCTTCTGTATAACGTATTTTCCACGCTATAAAGCACACTTAAAATCCTTTAATTTTCTCAAAAATCGAGAGTGCGCCTTATGTATGAATTCTGGTTGTGCTTACTGACCTCGAACCGATTTGGGCGTGCAGAAATCTGTTAAAAAATGTTTTAGTACAACTTTGGTAAGCCGCACTGCTTGATGGATTGTCAGAGAATTACGGCTGCCGTAGTAGGAGCTTCGCGGAATACTCTGGGTCCAAAATGCCGTCCATTTCAGGTCCCAAAGTCAAACGAACACAGAGTTAAAAACGGTCTAAATTCTTTAATCTTTAATAAAATCATCATCGTTGCTGCTTTACCA